ATTGTACATTACATTATATATATATATATATATATATCGTAAAGTGATTCATCTGTTTAGCATAAATAACAAAGGCGAACCCGATAAGACAGCTTTTTGGCAAAGGTTTTGTTGAACACACACACACACACATATATATATATATATATATATATATATATATATATATATATATTTATATATATATATATATATATATATATATATATTTATATTTACATATATATATATATATATATATATATATATATATATATATATATATATATATATATATATTTACATTACATTTATATATATATATATACATATATATATATATATTTACATTTACATTTACATATATATATATATATATAATCTCCAAATATAAAAGAACGAAGAATAAAATTCAAACCTTCAAAACATTTATTTAAAACAGGGCTCAATACAAGAGTAGACCAATAAAAATTTATTATACTCTGTTACATTAGAACATGTAATGTATTACAAAATTGTACATTTTGTTTCGACGTTTAAAATACAAACGTTTCATCAGGTAGTTAATAATTATTTTCCGTTTTGGAAGAATTTTCCGTAAAAGGTAAAAAAGATTTTTATAAAGAAAAAAAGGAAAGAAATCAATAAAAGAAAAATGAAGAGACAAGAAAAAAAAGACAAAATGAAGAGAGGAGTATATTAAAAAATTGCACAGGCACAAAGAAGAGGAAAGTTCAGAAAATCTGAGAGTTTGTTGATACGAATTAATCCTGTGAAATTATGCTGAAAAAGAGAATTCAAATTTGAACGGAAATGAAATGCCACAAGATCGTAACACATTAGCTACAATGTTGCGTCTCAAATTTTATGGCATTTTTAATGAAATCACGCATTCAAATAAAATTAGCCAGAGAATGGAAATAAAGAACACTTCAAGAAGCAATACAATACTTAACAAAACCAACCTTACATTATAAATTGGAATGCAAAATAAATTTTAAACCTTTATATATAATTTTTATATTAATTTTAAATTAAAAATTATTATCAGTAACGCAAGAGAAAAATAATAATAATAATAATAATAAGCCAATTCACGGGACAGGCATACTACCAGTAATTTATGAATAATAACCAATATATTACCTAACGCTAGTATAAAAAATTAGAATAACATTAAAATGTTTATATAAATAATATAACATGAGAGGAGTGATTATTGAGTTATGAAATTGAGCATGATTGTAAGGTTAATTCATTAATATATTTGCAATTTACCGTAGTTTTATATCTGTGATTAAATAATATATCATAATTCAAGAACTTAATTATTTCCATTTTCTCCTGTAGGCAGAGGAAGCACGGTTCGTTCACCGACCTGGAGATTCTAACTTGTTTGAGAATTTTCCATTTAACTTTAGGTGTTTTGTTTTCCTCTTTCAATTTCCAAAAATGTTTAGAAACTGAAGTCATATTTCGTTTCTCAGATTTAGTAAAGGATGACAGGTGATTATACAAACTTTTTTTTTTAATTATTCATTGTATTCCCAATACATATTTTAATAACCAATAGATTTTCTACTGATGAAATAGAACATATATTCATAAGGGATTTAGTTAAGCACTTGTTAGATAAAGGACATTGGTCGGTATTTCTACAACTACATAGCTTATTTCTACAAGTTATGATCAGCATTAGCATTACGGTTATTATTGTTATATAAATTCAATATTTTATTGTTATGTGATTTAATTATTTTCTCTAAATTATTAGTTCAACTATAGCTAAGTTTTAGAGTATTCCGATTGAAAATTTTACTTAAAGAATTATTTTTAGGAAAATGTTTATCAATTAATTTTAAAAAAATGTATGCCCCAATTTAATAATTGATTGAATAAAGGGGTATAAAATATGATCATCCTGTTGCTGTTTTTCTTCCTGAAACAACCATAATCTTCTACGAATCTCATTTCAAAAGTTCTGAACCCACTATCCCTATGAACTTTATCATAAACTGTTCTACGTTTTTCAAATATCTCGTCTCGGTCGAGAGACTGAGTAAATACACATCTATTGGAGTCAGACGGAGAGAATTCTAGTGGCGTCACGGCGAATGTCGAAGCGAGACATAATATAAAACTATGCAATATTTCAAGAATGAGTATTTAGAAAACTATGACAAACTGGAAAGTGTTTTTTTGTGTGACGCGCTTCATCCGTTAGGATTTCATCGGACTAGGCTTGGTTGACGTTACCATGTCTACGCATGCGCACAGAACGAGAGACGTAGGTAGTTTTAAAATTAAGACATTCTTTTTAAAAATACAAATATTTAATAGGATTTATGAGGATTTCTCGGATATTCAGGCCGGTAAAAGTTGTTTAATACTGTTTATTATAAACAGAGCATTTACTTAAATATTTTTTTTTTGATTTAATATTTTTTTTTACTATTGAATAGGAGTCAAAATTTATTGATAAATAAGATCTGAACCCACTAATTTATTGAAACAAAGCAAGTTCAGTTAACCATTGATGACAATTCCAGAAACTATAAACATTTTTTTTTTTTTTGCTATCCTCTGTCAGCCGCAATGATGGAGAAAGCATTACCTCGAGCCATCGCCAGTGAGACATGCTGCAAGAGCCACTCCGTTTAGCGAGGCTCGTCCCTTAATCGAGACGCAATCGCGCCAATCCTCCAAAGGAACGCCATCGAACGAGGGCCAATAACCCCTGAAGTCTCCACTGCCACAGGAGTAAAAAAAAAATCTATCAGCAAGAGAAGAATATTTAACTATTTTTTTTTCATCTCTTCGTCCTGGGCATATTATAACCGCCTGGAGTGAGTTATAACACAAACTAATACATATTAATATCTGGTTATACTCTGGGAATAATTTTATTACATACTAGCGATTTAAAACTAATCAGTCACTTTCTGCCCATAAATTTACATTAATTAAATTTCAATAATGCCTTTAAAATGACGCTATCTTCTTTAAGTCCTCACTGTTATCAGGTAGTGTGACTTTTTAAATGTTGTGTTTTTGCTTCTGTTTGCATATTTATAATTATATATGTGTTCAAGAGGCAAGCAAGTGCGAAAAGTTAAATATGTGGAAAATATCTTAAGAAAAGGACAATAACAATTTCACCGTTATCTAAAGAGGTATTGCAATAGTAAAACAAAATATTTAAAAAAGAAACAGCAAAATTTTGTTAGAAACAGAAGAGTGCTGAACTGTTGTATAATATCTGTTCTCCTATATGGCAGTGCATATTAGACAATATCCTCAAAAACGAGGCACCAAATATATGGTTCTACAGAAAGACGCTAAGAATTACATGGACTGAACATGTGAGTAACGAGGAAGGGTATTGGAAGCAAGAAAACATGTCTTAGACATTCTTTACCTCCTGATTTTACTTTCTTCTTTGTCTTGTCTGTCTTTCTTCTTTGTCTTTCTTCTTTTTCCTCCTATTCCTCTCTCTGCTGCTCTTTCTATCTCTCGCTCCACTTACACTCTCTCCCTTTCGTTTTTAATCTTTCTCTCATTCTTACTTTCACTGTGTTTTTATCTATTTATTTCTTCGACATCCTCTCTCTCACACATTCTCTCTCCGTCTTCCTCTCTCCTTATCGCATTTTCTCTTCATTTCTCTCTCCTTTTCTATCTTTCTAACCCTCTGTATGTTATCTCTCTTTCACACTTTTATCTCTGTCTCTCCCTCCCTCATCTTTTTTCATTCTTCTCTCAGCGTTCAATCTTTGTCTCTCGCATCATTATTCTTTCTACACCGCTCTTCGATTCTCTCGCTCTCTTTCCAATATTATATCTTTCTCTCTTCCGCGATTTTTCTCTCTATTTCTCTCAGTGTCTTCTCATTCCGTCTTTGGATTTTCTCTATCTCTCCCCGTATTTCTCTCTTACTATCTCCCTTTCCCTCTTCCTCTTTCTGCCTCTCTGGCCCACTGTCTCCCTTTCTCTCTTCCTCTTTCTGCCTCTCTGGCCCACTGTCTCCCTTTCTCTCTTCTTCTTTCTGCCTCTCTGGCACACTGTCTCCCTTTCTCTCTTCTACTTTCTGCCTCTCTAACCCACTGTCTCTTTCTCTGTCTTTTTCTTTCCCTCTCTCTCATTTTTTTGTCTTTTTTCGTATTTCCTTCTCTTCCTCGAAATTTTTTTCTCCCTCTCTTATCTTCTCGTCTACATTTTTACATTTATTTAATGCGGACAGTCGACAATATCTGTTTACTAGAACAACACCTGATCCTGTTCTTAATGTACAAAAGTGAACTGAATATATATATATATATATATATATAATTCTAAAACGAAATTGGTTGCCATTAAAAGATGGCCGATGACAGCCTCGTTTTGAGATATGTCTCTTTCCCGCCAGATAAGAATCTCCAATAAATTCTTTGAAGTAAAACAAACGTTGAAATAAACATAGGGAAAGATCGGAACATCTTTATTTATTTCTTAATGTAAAACGTTTCACTTGATATTTTTCTTGTGCTTTTCTTAGTTACACTTAATCAAGAAAACAATCGGTCATCGAATAAGTTTTTCGTATTTTATAATAACTTGTAGCTTTTTTTTTTTCTTATCTCCTATACATTTTTATGAAACTGGAAAAATGATCGCTTCATTCTATCGCTCCAGTCATAATACAACTCCATCTTCTATTGGTTTATCTTTACAAGAGATTAGCCAGAAACGCTTAGATCAATACCTAAATTCGTTCGTTTTTTATATTGACTGACTCGTTTCTATGGCTTATCAGCCCATTGCAGGTTTTTTTAAAGCCAGGAAATATTTCTAAATGAAGAATTTTTGGCGGAGATAATAGTTATTTCGTGATACAAGTCATACTAATTGACCCATATCTGGGGAAGTAAAAGTGCCATATTTGCGCGTAAGTGAATATAACGAACCCAACTGGAATTAGAAATTGTCTCTATGATTAACAATTATCAGCCGTTAGCCATTACACCACACCAACACATACAAAATTACAGCTTCTGATATCCCAAGCGGTCACTCATCGAGGTACTGATCAGTCTCAACGTTGCTTAACTTCTGTGATTATACGGGAACCTGATTTCAGCGTGATATGGCCGTAGGTACTTCATTTTATCTTTTGTTATTTATTTAAATACTACTGGGCGGCATTTAAGTTACCTTCTGCGGAGAGCTCTTCATTGAGCCTTCATCACAATAGCTAAGGTAGAGTAGATGCGATAGGCATCAATAAACTACAGAAGAACTCAAAATTGATGGCTGCATTTAAATATTACATTAATATTTAAGCTTAAACGATAATTCTTTTGCCGCCAATTAATTTAAAGACAGTTTGATTTACGTAGGTCCTTACTTTCCGTACAGAGAGTTATTTTTATTACATGCATGACTTTCGCTGGACATCGCAATTAATTTGATTATTCCCAAATTTATTTCCAAGTTATAAATATGGTTATCGTCCCCAAAAAACTTCGTCGCAAAAAAATCACGTCAAAAAATCACCGAAAACATTCGCAGTAATGAAAACTTGGGAATCGAAAATCTCAGAAACACGGGCCCGGGTCATGCCCGGAATGTTTTTAATTTGTTCATGGAGTCGACCTGATTCTAAAATGGTATGATATGTTGGGCTACGGCCTCTAGAAGTAAAGTTGAAAAAGGGTGATATTCGCAGTTATTATAAAGATGAGATATTTAAAAGTTAGAGATTTGTGTCCCTGTAACTGAAAAAGAGTGACAGTGACACAGACATTCGAATTTATTATATAGAGGAGATATTTAAAAGTAGGAGAGTTGTGCCCCTTTAATTGAAAAAGTGTGACACACTGACATTTGCATTTATTATATAGATTAATAGTACTAATGAATCATTAAACAGAGTAATTCCCTGTTCTTATTTAATTCAACACAAGCAATTGGTTTACATCAAACTGAAAAGGTTGGCCAGAACTCGGAAAGTCTATGATTTCTCACTTCACCTTCTCGAAACGGGAAAAGCATTTCTGTGCCATTCTGTCGGTAAATTAAGTCCACTCCGTACATAGGACAAACGTTTCAACCAGTTTTGGCAGCTCTGTGACCTTGATGAAGAGCAAAGATGATGTCGGACATGTTCATTCTTGTTTACTTAAAACTCCATCTCAAACGGGTCTCTAATCTGAAATAAAATTTCAATAACGTTAATATAGAGTAACTTTAGATTTAGAAACAGGAAAATTTCATTCGAAATAAAGAAAAAGTTACTGAACTCTTATTGTAATATCAGTCCTCCTATATGACAGTCATTTCTCGACAGTTTCCTCGCAGATGAAGAGGAGACTTGAGGCAACAGAAATCTTGTTTTTCAGATGGATTCTGGGAATATTAATATAATAACATTATATTGACCACATCTCATGAACATAGTAAAGAGTCAAAATTTAATGAAGAAAGTAAATAGTATTTAAAACCCAATTAACAATTATTAGTGTTGTGAAGATATAATTCTTACCATTATTTTCAATCGAAAATTTCTTGAAAATTCTTGTCATATTTTATGGTATAGCATTAGGATATGAAGTTAGTTTTCTCTAGGAATAAATCCTTATAGATTTACACAGCAAAACATTTTTTCTGGGATTAACTAATAATCATTTTCTTAATTCTGATGAATGAATAAATGAAGAACAGAAAGATAATAAAAACTAGAATTGCATTGATTTCATTGTATTTCTGTTTAGTTTTATATAAACTGTTGTGATTTGAATCCATATCCTATATATTCAATAACTATATATCAAATAGATTCAAGCTGTACATGATGTCAAAATGTGCACACAAACAAACAAGGGTAGCTTAGATGTGCCACAAGGCCTTATTTGGTAACGTATTAGTAACGACAAAGTTTTAAGGAAAATGAAAGCAAAAGATTTTATTAAAGGCAAAGAAAATAGTACTGAGCTGTTGTGTAAATCACTTCCCCTATACGGCACTAAATGATGGACGATCACACCACAAATGACGAAAAGAATTATAGCAACAGAAATGTGGTTCTACCGAAAGATTCTAAAACTTAGACACACATATAATGGGCGTAACAGCAAAATTGTCCACTTGTTAGATTAAGCTTTGAACTGTTCTATCTTAGAGATGATTAAAGATATCTTACTGGAATTTTCCTTGGTTTTTATAAAACTATTGGACTTTACTGTGAATAATGAGAATGTATTTAGCTCTAAGTTTAAATCCCTCTTGTGATTGTAATCACCTCAATCTATTGTAATCTCCCCATCCATTTTTTTTTCTCTACTGTTGCCTCTTTTTTAAAAAAAAATTATTCACCGTTCACTTAATGGTTCTTGAATAGACCTTGAAGAGAGAAGCCAGAGTATGAATTTTGGTACCATTACTAAAGGCCTGAATTATCTTTTGCCTCTTACAATTGCGCAGTTGGAAAGACATAATGGGGCTGTCACAAAACGATTTTATCCTGTTCTTTTTCTAGCTGAATAACTGAAATGGTATTTGTGTGATTCTTACAATTGGCGTCATCATGTCTAAACGTTTTATCTGAAAACCTGGGAAAAGAAACTCAGTTAGATTAGTGTTTTTTTTTTTTAGATATTAAACAGAATGGGAAGTTATCGCATGCCTTTGCAATCGGTATATATATATATATATATATATATATATATATATATATATATATATGTAACCCGGATATAAGAGACTTCTTCTCGGTCCCGACAACTCTCTTATATCCGGGTTACACTATATATATATATATATATATATAATTTTATTTAAAAATTATAACTTAAATATGTTATAAAATCACTACAAAAATGGCCACTTTGTTTCAACACCTCCGGTGTCTTATCAAGTGATGATGTTGAATGTAGAATAAATGATTTTAAAAGTTTCAAATTAATTAACGATCCTTGGCAAGGGTAAAACGATTCCGTATACACCAATCCTATACTTGGATATATATATATATATATATATATATATATATATATATAGCTACAGAATAAAACTACAAATAAACGTTGATAGTTATAATAATTATCTGGGAACTCTTTTAACAGATGGCGCAAAGTGTGACACTGAAGTCCGAAGACGCTTTGAGATAACGAAAGATGCCTTTCCAAAGCTAAACATAATATTAAGAAACAGAAACAAATCGCTAGGAACAAAGAAAAGAATACTGAACTGTTATGTTCTACTATATGGCAGTGAATGTTAGGAATCTCCTCATAAATGAAGAAGAGACTTGAAGCAACAGAAATCTGGTTCTTTCCAAAAGATGCTGAAAATACCAGTGACAGAACTTGTTAAGAATAACGAAGTTTAAGGAAAATGAAACAAAAATGTTGATAGAAACGTAGAAGAGTAATGAACTGATAGATAACATCAGTTCTCATGAATGACTGTGAATGATTGCCAGTCTTATCACAGATGACGAAGAGACATGATGCAACTAAAATGTGGCTCTACAGAAGTATACTGAGAATCTCATAAAATCATATTTCTATGTCCAATGTTTGAAAATAAAAATCCAAATAAATGTCAGTTATAATTATCTAGGAAGTGTTTTGACGGGGGACGGAAAGTGTGATACTTAAATCCGAAAGCGAACTGAGATAACGAAAGGTGCCTTCCAGAAGCTAAGCAATGTATTAAGAAACAGGAGAAAAGTCTAGGGAACTGTTATGCACCATCTGTCCTACTATAAGGCAGAGATTAAAAGAGACATGCTACCATATCTGGTCAGGAGTTGAACAATCTTCACTTTCTAGCTTTATTACACTTCAAAATTGCTTACGCGATCTTCAATGAAAAAGGACTATTGTCCGCTCGTAATTTCTTTTCACCAGACGCAACGCCGTAGCTTTAGACGTTATTTCTATAACAAATCATCAGCGGAACTCGATTCTTAACGTTCACCAGATGCAGACCTTTACAGATCGAACACGCCATGCTACATCCGCGGAATCAAATCACCGCCACTGCAACCCCATTCCAAATGTAAGGTGAACGGTCAACTCGGAAATCTTTTCCCAGGAATGGCTGCTTTGTGGAACGGGCTCCTCCCTAGACGTCTCCCTGAACGGTACAGTTTAAACCTGTTGTATTTTAGAGTTGTTTTCTATCGTTCTCTGCTTCATAATCTTTATTTTCTCCCAGCCCGTCTTTCATTTATCTGCTTTGGTGGCTGTGGTTGTAGAATACGCTGCTTAAACCTCCAGAGAGGAGTAAAACCTCCCCCTCCCTGAGAGTCATCCTAGGTATGACGATAAATAGATAAAATTACCAATAATAAATATGTCAATACATTTTATCTATAGTTGAAGGCTTACACTTCCGTTTTAAAATATATTCAGTTTAAGCCATAAAAGTGTCTTCAAAGTATTGAGATTTCAGCATTAAATAACCTATAGAGTTGTTAATATGACGCTAAACAAAAACAACCAACAAACAATACCTATTTAAGTAAATTACCAACAATAAATATTTAAATCAAAATGATGATACGTTTTATCTGTAGTTGAGGGCCTAGAATTTAATTCAAAATATATTTACTTGAAGCCATAAAATTGTGTTCAAGATATTTAGATTTCAGCATTAAATAATTCATAGAGGTATTAATATGGCGCTAAACGAAATCTACCAAACTAATCTTTCATTCATACCACACACCTCATTCAGCAGTAAGAGTATCTATCTACCTTAAGTTGCTCTCGAGACTTGGATAAACTTTGATATAGAATAAAAAATGATTTTATAAGTGTTGATAAGACAGGAAAAAGTGAAGTATGCGTCTGGAATCTCTTAATGTTCACTGTTGACGTCATTGATCGCGGCTCGGAAGAACTCGAAGAGACAAATACGAAATCCAATTGAGCTTATTATCTCTTCTGATACGGGAGGATTGGCGGGATGGCGTCTCGATTAAGGGACGAGGCTCGCAAAACGGAGTGGCTCTTGCAGCGTGTCTCACCGGCCACGGTGCCAGGTAATGCTTTCTCCATCATTACGGCTGGCAGGAGCACCTCCGTGTGGTGTAATGGTTAGCCAGCTTGTCTCGCTAGATCAGTTACGACTGAAAAGTGAGTTCGAT